AAATATTATAAATATTATAAATATAGAGTGTTTTGTCAGAGTTAAATTGTAATTAAATGTTCACACGTGTGGTACAGCGAGTTAACATAATCTAACCTTTTCTTATGATACGAGCCAACGCACCTCATCCCTGCACACGTCCGATTTTAATCATTTTATTATAACAAATTACCATTATTACTCAAAATAACATATATATATATACTAACAAACACTTTTCTTTTATTATAACTAATAATACATCACTTAGATTTGCTTTTGCAAACCGAAGAACGTTAATATGAAATTATGAAACACTCAAAAATTTACTTGTCTGCTCTTGAATCAGACATTTTTCTTTTTCCATTGTAATACTTGTTTGATTTAAATGAAATTTAGAAAGAATAACTATGTCATAAAAGAAATATTTTGCAGTAACTTTTTCATTGTTTCTTTTATCATAAATATATAAACAGAACGCAATACCAATTTGCTTCTTATGTCAACGAGCCCCGATCTGCCCTACCAATACTTAATAGCATTTATAACGCATTTTTACTTTCAAGTATTTCGAAACGTTTCTAAGGTACATTTTAGCATTTAATTATACCTACTTTCTCATTTTTCTTAAACTTGAGCGTATTATCACATGAATATATGTATTCTTGAGTGTGTTATTTGCTATTTAACATTTTATTTGATTGTATATATTTTGAGTTATGCAAATTTAAACAATAGCATGACATTTTGCTAATGTGACCCTTTGTGGGTATTGATTACTCACGACCTCTTTTTTGAAGTTTTCATATCAAGATAATTATTTGATAACCGATTGTAGCTCTACTGTTAATCTATAGTTTACATTACGTGTACTATTTTTAGTACTGAGATTTTTAGTACTGAGCAGCTTATATGCAGAAGTTATGTGAATGTATATATACATTGCATGTATGCAAATGAATGTATATACATTCATTTGCATACATTTTAAAATGTTTTTTTTTTTGTTAATTTTGTAACCAAATACTTTTTTCTAGACAAATATTTTAAGGCCACATTACCATCCATTTTTTTCTTCGAGTCGTTATACAATATCGCCACACTTTTATTAATAGTATCCTAAGTAATAAATATTTCGTAACTTTGAGTCCAGAATCGATTCAACAACATTTTAAGGAATGTCAAGTTTTAAACTTAAATATTGATTATTAACGAAGTTATTGTGTAAAATGTAACTGGGATGTTATAATACTATCTTCTCCTCTAAAGATTTTAATTAATATCATTCTTTTTTATTGTAGGTTTGCGATGGAATTGAATATTTTAAAAGTTCATAAAAAATAATTATTAAAAAAGAAAAAAGTATGTTAAACAATTGTTAATTAGACATTAACAATGGATCACGACATAGCGATAACTGATAAAACCTTTTGGCATCCCTGAAGAAAACACCTGTGAAAGTCTCAAAAGTATTATGTTAAACAGTATCCGCACAAAACAATATTTACTAACAATTTTCACATCTTTTGCCATTAAGATATAAAAATACTCCAGATGACTATTCTTGGTTAAATAATAAAAGTATAATATTGTATAATCCTATTAATATAATTGATTAGGATAAGAAATAATTGAGAATTTAAGAAAGTAGCGCTCATCCGTTTGTATAATCGTGACAGATATCACCTATATAAACAACGTAGAATCAAGATTTCGAAATTGATAGAACGAACAACAAGCCTGCAATCTTTCTGCGGATTACGTCCCTAGCGCGCAATTTGAAACATCGACACACCCCATCCTTCCATTCTCGCGTCTATCACGCCCGACCTAGTCGACGGCAATAAATCTGAACTTACGGTATATCCTTGGATGCAAATTTCCCTACAGCTATAGAAATATCGTAACACAATATCGCCATTTTCGCGTTACATTATATAT